ATATATATATATATATATGTATAAAATTACTTACATCATCTAACAATTCCAATTCATAATCATATACTCCTGCACCTCCATAGATACCAACACCCGCTATAAGAATGCCTGGTCTATCGACGGAAAAGCAAATAGCATCTGGAGAACCATTACCCGTATTCCATGATCTTGACTGATTTGTTCTCGTAAATCTTGAAGGTGTTGTATACATGAGTCTACCGCAAGCTGCTTGCAATTCATCTTCATTTCCGCTCGATTGTGCCGCCAATTCGGCGATAACTCGCGCTAATAAATAACAGCAATGAAGAACCAATTCTGGCAGAGACTGAGTCTTTTCTCTACAAAGACTTCTTTTGACTGGTATTAGTATCAGATCCAGTAATCTATCAAGTACTTCGCGGAATGACCAATTCAAAATCTCCTTGCCAGAACTTTCTACTTGAGATTTGTAACTGATTTGTTCAACTAAAATCGGATACTGATGACTTTCTGTTGAATTCATCATAAGTAGACCGGCATTGTCAGATGGGCTAAGCTGCCGTTTTATGCTGTCACTGTTGTCCATGATGTTGCTTAAGATTGGAAACGTACATCTAAGTCGTATCGCCGAATTGCACAAAGAAGCCAGTACAGACGAAAGAAGACGATCCTTTGAGGTCATACCTTGTTCTTTATCGATATCCGATAACAACTCACATAAGGAAGTCCATTTAAGATATGCGGTAGGATAAAATGCATGATAACAAGCTACAAACGTTTTGTGACATTCGTCTAATATGCTGTTTGTCATTTTATTCCCCAAAGTACTACTAGAACTTTTATTAGATCGTGTCTTTCCTTTACTTTTCAGAGTAATCGGTAAAGAATCAGATAAAATTTGACGCAATAATGCTCGCACTTCACCTATACATTCCGCCAAACGCACCGATTCGGGAGGAGTCTTTTTAATAACATAATTGGGATAGATTTCATTGGTATATGTTCTAAGCAGTCTTAAACTGGCTTTGCTTATGTACACCAATCGTTCCATTTCGAGCATCGCGTGAGTCGATGATGCGATATGAACGGCCATATCGGCCAGTGTTGCTTTCAATGTGTTCCAACTCCATTGAAGGAGAGATATCAAGGATTGGAAGCATTCCTTTGTGACAGTCCTACTGAATTCTCTCTTCAGAACATAGACAGGTTCAATTTGGTCTCTCTGCCTATTTGGTGTCTGATTTTCAGGTGTGACAATACGATATAATAATTGTGGAATTTGTCCGGCGTTAACATCAGTGCCATTGTTAGATCTTTTAGAAGACTTAAAATAAAACATGACTTGATCTTCTGCTGTGACCATTCCTTGTCCGCCAGAACCGCAATCGCTGGAAGGTCCACCAACTTTAGCCCATGCTACGTACCATCTGTTTGCTTGCAATGATATAGGTTCATCAAATAATATTGAATATTTCTGTCTTGGACCACATTCGTACGGAATCTCTTCTGTCTCTGCGAGAAGTTCGCCATCGTTCTCTTGGTCTCCACCATCAATCCCGACATCAAATAGTTTAATCTTCGCAGTATATTCACCTCGACCACCAAACAAACCATAGCCTCCCAATATAATGTCCGTGTCAGGCATAAATCTAATTGCTTCGATCGAATGAGCTGAATAACCCCATCCTCCTCCATGGCTTTCAAATCTGCTAACAGTAGCATAATCTTCACGACTGTAAACTTTGCTATGCATCGATTGATTACATTCACTTTCTTCAACTATCAATAAGTTTTCATCTTGAGCTTGCGTTAATGTATCCAAACAAGCTAATAAATGCATCGCGGCTTGAGAACGTGTTAAAAAACAAGATGAAACAACCGGAAGCGCTAAACCTGGATTGAGTATAGAAGCTTCTAAACCAGGTATAGCTCTAGCTTCAGTTGATATTATGTTGTACAAGCTTATTTCATTATTCGCTGAATTGAAGGTCCAAATAACGTTGTATAAAGGATCCAAGCATGCTGCGCAATTGCTGAAATCAACTTGATCCACACCACTGTAACTATTACATGTTCCGTCGCGTTTGCTTATCACGAGACTCTTAAAAGAATTTGCGTGCTCATTCTGATGGGGTATTAAGATAATACAATTTTTATTCGCCATAACAGTACTTCTTGTCAAACTAATTGAATTTATTTCGTCTATTTTAACATAGGTTTGATCTCCAGCGGCACCAATCCACGTTGCTCGTCTACCCCACCGAGGACCAATATTTGGTACTACATTTGGAAAGCTGTGCCATGGTTGAGAACGGTCAGTACGACGATTCGCTTGAGTAGTGTTTGTAGATTCATTCTGACCGTTCCACCAATTCATACCGAGTTGTCCCTTTTGGTATGCACCAAATGTGTAAACTTCGCCTTTTGATGTGAGTATAATAGTATGATTACTACCAGCAGCGACTTGAATAGCAATAGTCGGCAATTTAACTTGAATCGGTCCTGCATGTGCTACCAAATCTCCAACACCTAATTGACCATATATGTTACTACCGAATGTATATACTTCTCCATTTTGCAAAAGTAACACTGTATGATGCAAACCACAGGACACTTGGATCACAGGACTGTCGCTAGGAATAGGAACTCTGGCTGGTGATATACTGGCAATTCTCGCCGCATCGCCTCGTTCTACATCGCTACCACCGACACCTTCCTCTACTGCGAGATTAACTCCTAATCCCAATGCCACTTTTTCTGGAAATCCCTTTTGCACGATACTGGGGCCAGCTGCACGCTGATTGTTCATGCTCTTGATTTTTACTCCATACTTAACAGCACTCGGTCCTGCTTTGCTTCTTTGCCGTTGCTTTATCTCACCCAATCGTCTTTGCAGATATTCTCGAAAATTGGAACCTGATATGCCGTTGCTGCAACTCTTTCTTGCGCATGTACGACAGCATCCACATTCCGCACATCCACTGTCTCCTTCGCCACATCCACATTCTTGACCGGGATTCCGATCGGGACGTATACTACTCAGACATGATATGCTATATCCGGTACATTCTCTGCATATCGTGCAAACCATACAAACGCGATGCCTCCATTGATGTTGCCCTGGAGGACACATCCCTCTCGTTTCTTCCCAATCTTCCGCAGGATCTACACTCTCCTCTTCGGCTATTATTAACTCATCTTCTCCTGTACCCATTTCCATTGCAACTACCGACATTTCTTTATTCACAGTATGCACTGTTGTAGAATCACGACCACACTGTCCCTTATTATTTATACCGAATGTATATAGATGTCCTTTATTAGTCAACGCGGCGGCATGAGCCTTTCCTAATGATACGCGAATTATACATATGTCCCTTAAATCGGTAACTAATCCTGTCACTGGATCACTATGTAGCGTATCTTTACCAAACATTAATAGAGAACCATCTTTTGTGACTAAAGCAGTAGATCCATTATTACAAGCAACATCCACAATAAATTGACCTTCCACTTTTGCCATTTTCTTTGGTTTTACTGGTTTTGGTTGCCTACGAGCTTTATCTTAAAATAAAAGAAATAGTTGCAGCAGTCTTGTTATAAATTACAATATTACTGTAATCCATAGTAAACTTACTACTATCTCCATCTTCCCCACGTCTAGCAGTGCCAGCAAATAGTACAGAACCATCTTCCATTACCATAACGACATGTTGACCATCATGACCTGCTGCAAAATGTGTAATCCTTGGACCTTTACCATAGGTAAGTTCCAACCATCTATTAGGCCTGGTATTGCTCTTCATGCCTAAGCAAGTTCCTTTTCCGCTATATAACAACTATAAAAAATTTTTAATTAAATATTTATATTGTTATTGTGTTAAATATTTATATATAAAAATATTAAGTGATCATAATAACTGCTTGAAATAGCTCTCACATAATACGTACTTTACCAGACACTGTTTTAAGTAAGCCAAATTCCTTTCCTGCTGTAACCATTGCAATTTCATCGTCGTATCCCGGATTTAAAATATGTATTGCTTGTTCTTCATCAAATGTTGCATAACCAAATATATCTACGCATTTTCTTGCCAATTTTAATGGTAATTCAGAGGCAACTGTCACAGGATTACTCAGTGTATTTATCGTACGTACTACGAAACCTTCCTGTTGAGAGAAGATAAAAAAATGAATGAATATATCAAATAATACAACAATATTTAGATATACAATTACATTAATTACATCTTTGCCAGCAGTTATCATTCCTAAATTTTCGCCATCGGAGAACATGACAGAGGATGACCAATCTTTTCCTTCTAACACAGCAATTCCTGTTACTATAAGCGTTTCTGCATCAATAATTAATAACTCACTCTGTTTTCTAGGTGCACATTTAAAATATAATGAATTCTGTAAAGTAAAAGTTTTATTACATATAAGTCAAGTATTTATTACATATTAAATAATGCACTCATAAATATTTACGTGCAACTAACATTAGCATAACCGAGCCACCCTATTTCCGTCGGATAAAAATCTGCTTTATGTATGTATATATGTCCCCATATTGTACCATTGTGGCCACTTCCAATTTTTAGTAAACCACGAGATGTATGCAGATATAAATACTTTCCATCACTTACAAAACTACGTTCATTCAATACCATATTGTTCATCTCATTTGGTAACTTAAGCATAGAGGTATATATCTTGGAACATTTAGGAACGCCATATGTAATCCAATCTGGTCTCATGAGTTTGCCTAACAATACAGCATGAACACTTCTCTGCAGAGACGTTAACACACATGGCATCTAAAAAATTAAAATATATAATATTAAAATATACATCATTTTTTTATTATGCAACAAATATATTTATCGGCGATAAGATACCTGAATATTTTGTATTGCTAATGCTCTAGGAGACATAAGCAGAGCCGCTATTGCTGCCAACAGTCGTCCAGTATCTCCTCTGACTACTACAAGACTCAATAAACAAGCACAAGCAACAGCTGTCAAGTGACTGCCATCATTGGCAGCGGCTGACTCAGGACCATGAGAAGTTGCAAGATCCAGTAACAGATCAAATAATGGATCTGAAAAAAGATAAATTATGAGAAACTTGTCAATTAAAAAGATCAATAATTTAAAAATACAAACCAATGACGTCATCTGGTTCAGATTTGAGGCCTTCTGGTAATTGCCCTTGTAAAACGTCCAATAAAGCCGACAGTGCTTTTGTACATAAAATTGGATCGATTGTTCTGCTCTCTCGCATTAATGTAAAAACACTTCTTAAACCAATACCTACAATCTTTATTTAAAAAATTATTTATAGCTGTATGTATATCACAAATAAATTATATTACTTATATATATTAAAGAAAAAGAAAAATTACAACATACAAAAACTTTTAACAAATGAATATCACAACGATATGAAAACAATTAATAAATAAATTACATTATATAGAAATTCATGAATTTTTTAAGTTGCTTTTACCTTTGGTAAATTTTGTATAGTCGATATTCTATCTTCATCATCGCTTTCTGTATCTATAGTGTCACTAAGGTCTGGTGGTGGAGAGCTACAATTGGATGCTCTATAAATTTCAGTTGACAGTTTTGCATGCTTTTCTAAAATAGCATTTCTCACGCTAGCAAACACAGCAAATGCTGAGGCATTATAAGATGTTTCTATCTCTGGTGGATTATTATAATTTAATTCTCCATTTAAATCAATCTATAATGCATATAATGTATATAAAAAATATCATATGTTTTATCTTAGAAATTACAAGAAACAAGAGAATTATTAATTTCCGGTACCTTTTTCTTATCTCGTTTGCGAAGAGTTTTATTTTTTTTACACTTTCTCCATTCTCCCTTATTCCTAGAAAATTTAATTAAGTTTTTTATTTAAATTGACATACATAAAATGAACATAAAATGTATTTTTTACAGTACTGCATACACAATTTTATTTTATAATAAAATTATAATAAAATTGTTTTATTATAAATAAATATATAATTAAATTATAATAATCGAAGAATCACAAAAAATATTTCTGTTTATTATTCCATTTGTAAAAAGATTTAAATGAGAATTATTCTGTGACTAAATATTTTATTATTTTATTATTTAGATAAATAAGAACTACTACTACTTCCTACTGTATCTTTAACAAAATTAATAAGTCATAAAAAAGGTTCGGATAAGAAATAAAAAGGAATAGACAAACAAATTATTCTTTAATAAATAAGAAATTTGAGGTTACGTTCTACGTTTACAAACGCGAGCGAATTTAATTAACGCCGCCGTGTCAATTAAAAATTTCTTCTTTCGGCCAAATTGCACAATTTCACGGAAACGTCAAGTGATCGAGTGGTAAAAAAAACCGATTGGCGGCAAAGTCATCTACGACGGCGTCAGGTAAACAAATCGTGGGAGAGGTTATACGTCACACTGTCGTCATACCTCTGCGCCTCGGCGATGTTCTTGAAGAGATCGTAAAAACACTTGGCGTAACTCTCAGGCTCAGGTAGCAGCCTCTCGTTGTCCCCGGACACCATGATTCGCGCAAAACTCCGAGCATATGAGTCACCAAGTCATTTTCGTATCGCTATTGATCGTTGACACTCGCTGGTCGTCTTCCTCATGTGATAACGTTACGTATCCCGGGGAATCCTGGAAAGAGAAAAAGGGGTACTGCGATAACGCGATGATGACGGTGAGCACGATCGTGAGACTCGGACTCGGAATATCTTGCACGGCCCCGATGATTTACTTTGCGTGCAAACCAGCGCAAGATTCAAAAACAGGACATCTTCGCTCCGTTCCGCCGTTAAGTTCGTCTTGAACAGTGTCAGAACGGACCGCGAGTACTCGCGACTTCGATAGTCGAACGGAATTATCGCGTGCGATAACGAGCGAATACGCGAGAAACCGCGCGAACTTTGTAACGCCGCTTAACCGTTTGCGTCGCGACGGATAGATATTTCATAGACATGAAATCGGTGAAATGTCATCGAGTTGCTACACGAGAACGAGGATACGTCACACGTATGTTTAGCAAAACCGAGAGAAACATTTCACAATAGAGCGCGTCCCTCACGTAGAATTCTATAAATATTTATTATTTACGTCATACATGTTTATGCATCAAACCTTTGTTTATAAGAATATTATAACCGCAGATGAAAACAATGAAGGATATACAATAAAACTTATTGCTCTGAATGCTTTGTTATTCGCGAGAAATCAAAAGTTTATTTAAAGTTCACGAGCTACCGGCTTTTGCAAATTTTAATCTTTCACGTATACACGACATTATAATATATACGTACTATGTCAGTGACTCGTCTTTTCGTTCGCTTCGAATGAGAAAAGACGGCCGTTTTTCACAGTGCGCGAGATCAACTTATTTATCGACGTTGACGAACAATCGTTACGACGAGAAATGGCATTGAAAGGCTGTCGATCTACGCGGAATCTCTCGGAATTTCGGTGATCCTGTACGCGTGCGTCTCGAACACAAAATGCGATACGGTACAATCTGCACGGGTACGGCTGCGGTACGATTCGATAACGTGTCACGTCAAGATTACGAGGGCCATTCGTAAAATCTATAAAGTATGAACCGAAAGTACTTGCCACTGTGTGACGCGAGATCGACAGAGTATTATCAAACGCGATAAGACGCGTATGTCTCACTTTTTTGTGCTACATGGTAAAATCGCTATTTGTGGAATAACAAGCACATAACCTCAAAGGCGACGTTTCTCAATTCGATTTCATGATACTTTCGATCCAATACTGAAACTCGTTATTTTGCGATTCTAAAAATTTTATTTTCTCAATCCCATTATTTCTCAAATCGAGACACGCATATCTATATCTTTTCGTAAAATTGTGAGAAAACATCTGTACATTGATTTACAAAAAACATGTCATTTTTTATCTAATCTCTTTAATTCTTTATCGTGACAGATCAAAAAGCGAAGGGAGCATTTATGATTAAATACAGTCTACCAGCTAAAAGAAGCAAGTTTTAATGAAGAAAACTTAAACCGAGAAATAACGTTGTGTTTAACTTGCATTTAATCATAAAATTGTAATGTTAGAGTTATGTATGCAGATAAGCAGTTAAAAGACGCTTATAATATTATCATTATAACACATGGTAAAAGGATATGACTTATCATGATATTATCTTTTTGGTAAGTGGCATGATTTTTAAATGTATACTTTGTTAAGCATTTATCATTCAAGTTCTACTTTCAGCCTGGTCAGATGCGAGATTTGATAGTACGATTGATGTATCACTGTTCTGTAAATGTAACCTAAACAGGCACAATAACTCGCTAAAGGAATTCTAATAAACTAGTGGGAATGGGCAATTGTTTGTGTAAAGATACTCCAGGGATATATGATATTGAAACATATGGCAGAAACAATCATGCAGAAACTCAGAATACCATAATACCGGAACCAAACATAAGTATAGTTTCGTGTAGCGATTCAGCATCTTCTTCCTTTAAATTTCCTACATCGTCACACATTGATAAACTTGTATTGGAGACTCTTGGAAGTCTTGATACTCTGGTAGACAAGTAAGTAATTGATGATTGTAATATATGATACGTATCGGTTTCTTATACTATGCTTTTTTGCATTGCTTATGTTTAGTGATCATGAACCACCACCAGCAATGTTAAAATTGAATGCTATTGCGGACAAGGAAGATGGTTGGATACAAGTAGTTAGTTCTATGGTCAATGTTATTCCAATGAACAATCCATTGGGTCCTTCAGTTATAATATTGTTACTAGATGATTGCCCTTTGCCTTCAAAGGTTGGAATTTATTTTTAATTCTTATTATTACCAGCATCTTAATTTGCTAAAAAAAAAAACAAGAGCAGCAGCAGTGATAACTCTTTTTATTTTGTTTTGTAGGATTCTGTGCTACGATTATCACATATGTTTCAATTGCCTCAAAAACTTGGACAAATACAAATTACAACTACACAGCAACGTAATATATGCGTAGTGCTTGGTTGTATTGCAGAGAAACTTGCTGGTCCTAGTAGTATTGCAATATTATCTGATGCTACTTTAGATTATCTAGTTTCAAATCTAGTATGTTATTTAATTAATGTTTAGACGTATTAATATTCAATAATTTTTAATATAATTTTATTTTTTTTTAGCGAAAAGATGTTGAGCCTTATGTAATGTTATATTCTTTGATAGCACTAGAGAAGTTTGCACAGACAAGTAAAAAAAAAATATTTCATTAATATAAATCTTTTGTGTTTTTTGTTATAATTAATTATTGTTTATATGTACAACAGGTGAAAATAAAGTAACAATTAAGAAACGTCTTATGGCAGAAAAACAAAATCCGTTATTAGAATTAGAAAAATGGGTTACAGAAACACATTACGTTCGTCGACAAGTTGGTTTTTGTGCACAGTGGTGTTTAGATAACTTATGTAAATATGATATAACTTCGTTAAATGCATTTATCTGCTCAATTTAATAAGTAAAAAAAAAGGTGTATTTTACGAATCTTTTTTTTTAGTCTTAATGGAAGGTAGAAAATATTCCCACGACTCCGTCGATGTAACTGGTATTAATGTAATGTTAAATACGAAAGATGTAAGCGAGTACCTGAAAATATCACCTGATGGTTTGGAGGTAGATATTCTGTTGTACTATATCTTGCTAGTGGAGATTATATTGTAATGATAATAAATTGTTATGTTTTAGGCACGATGTGATGCATATTCCTTTGAAAGTGTACGATGTACATTTCAAGTAGATTCAGGAATATGGTATTATGAAACATTGATAATAACTACAGGAGTTATGCAAATTGGATGGGCCACAAAAGATAGCACGTTTTTAAATCATGTAAATATCCATATTTGAGAATATTTTTTATTTATAAACTTATTGTATATATATAGTATTATTACTCCATAAAAATTGCCATGTTTCAATAGGAGGGATATGGTATAGGAGATGATGAATTTTCTTTGGCCTACGATGGCTGTCGCAGACTGATTTGGTATAATGCACGAAGTGAAAAATTTCATGACAGACCATGTTGGAAATCTGGTGACATCTTGGGTTGCTTATTGGATTTAAACAAACTAGAAATAGTATTCTCTATCAATGGTATACCACTTAAACCATGTATTCAAGTATTTAAAACAGTAAGGTATGTATGTATATTTTTTTAATGATTTTCTATCACATGAATATCAAAATATAAACAAAGCCTCTAATAATCTAACGATATGATTATTTTTAGGTCTGGATTCTTTGCAGCGGCTAGTTTCATGTCATTCCAACAATGCCTATTTAATTTTGGACATGTACCTTTTAAATACCCACCTACTGATCGAGAATTTCAGAAATTTAACGATTATGCTTCATTGAAACCAGAAGATAAGATTGTACTTCCTAGACACATATATCTGGATCAATTGCGAAGGCTCAGTGTTAGAGAAGATTCCTGTACATTATGTTTCGATCAGAGGGCATCTGTGAGGTTATTGCCATGCAATCATAGGTAATACAATTGTATTTAAATTCGAGTTTCATAAAACAACAATTTTTTATAAGAATATATATAACAATTAATTTATCTTATACAGAGGATTCTGCCAAAAGTGTTCAAAACAACTGATTGAATGCCCAATGTGTAGAGCTACTATTGAAGAAGTAGCCTCAGATAACATATGACATCGATCATTTCATATCAACGTTTACGAATTCTTTCATTATTTCTTTTTTGTTATACAATTTTTATGTATGAAATATCACGAGATAATCATAATTATAGATAGTTATTTACGCCGTATATATACAATTATTACGTGTCACATAGTATTTTTCTCTATGCAATACAGAGCATTAATAAATAGAAAGAATTACAAATTAGTTATAGATAAACGAATTCCGTGATAGTGCATTGCAAAGATTGAATAAGTTTATATTTTAAAAATTAAATATTGCGTAAACAAGTATTTTACAAAGACAAAACATTCTTCTTGAAACTTTTCCATATTTCTCTATACTTTTTCTACTATATAGATTTATAATAAGATACTTTGTGATTTAAATGATAGCTTCATAATTCTCATGAATATTAACTTCAAACAATTAAAATAATTTATAAATGGCTATATATATATTAATTAAATTAATATAATTAATGAACAAAGAATTAAACAGATACAAGAAAATTATAATAGATTGGATAAAATTATAAATCAGAAGGCGAGCATAAATCAGAGAAACTAAAAGCTCAAATTCTATATAAAGCATTTTTGATAAAAGTATGTATTTGATTATGTATTTATGATTACGTATGTATTTGAAAAGCAGATTTCCAAAATATATTTTGTCCAAATTTCGTTTTTTAAGTTAAAGGTGTTTATTGTTGAAAAACTCATATTTTAAGCTATTCCATGATGTTCTGAAAATTCTATATTATTCATTTCTATATTATTAATTTATATTATTAATAATAAATTATGTGCTGCAAAAATCTTGATATTC